CAGTGCAGTAAAAAATAAATACAAGTTTTAAGTAGAAACTTGATTTTGGAGTGGAGTATCCACTCACCAGCTGCTCTGTTCATTGGAAACCCTATTCAGGGTCGCTATGAGTCGGAACCAACTTGATGGCGCTTAACAACAGCAACAACAATCCAGTCATCAAAAGCTGAAAAGTTTCCCAATTTCATTACTCATCAAGGAAATGTTACTTTAAATGACAATAAGACAACTGTACACTCATGAGAATTACTAATTTTAAGACTGATAATACTAAATGTCCAGGATACAGAATAAGCAGAACTCTGAGGCACCATTGGTGGGAGTAAAAATCGCTTTGTCTAACTAAGCTTGAGAACTAAAATGACATATGCCTATACCTAGTACCTTTCACTCTGGGTTATGTACCCATCAGAAATGTGCGCGCTACAAATATGCACCAAAAGACTCAAATAAGAAAGTGTATCCTAGTCCTGGGGAGGCGCTGTGGAATAATGCATTGGATGAACTGTAAGGTTGGTTTGAATTGCAAAATCGGCTGTTCAAGTTCTCTAGTTGCTCCTTGGAAACCCTGCATTTGGGGGTAGCTTTGAGTCAGAACTGACTTTAAGGCACTTAACAACAACATCATCCTAGCATTACTTGTATTGACCCTTAATTAGAAATAACACAGATGCCCATCATTAGAATTGGTCTTTTGAGGTATATTCATAAATTGGGATACCATATGTTGTTGGTAAATGTTGTCAAATCAGTTCCAACCCACAGCAATATGGGATACCATATATCAGTAGGCAAAAGTAATTTGTGGTGTTGGAAGACACGTTTGGGTAGGAATGATTGAGTAGTGATTGGGAAGAAACTGGGAGTAACATGAGGAGAACTTGAGAGATGTGGACGGTTTAGTTCTTGACCTTGGAAGTAGTTACTCAGTATTCGTGTTGTGGTGTCATGACTTGTCAAGCTTTGTAACTTAAGCTTCTGAAAATGTTATATTTTAATTTAAAAAGTTAAAATTCTGAAAGAAGTGCCAAGTATTGTCAGATGCCATAGAAATTTCAAGAGAGATCAAGACTGAAAACCATATTACAAAAACTAACCTATTGCCTTCTAGTCAAATCTGACCCTGTAGGGCAGAGTAGAATTGCCCCACCCGGGTTCCAAGGCTGGAATCTTTATGGAAGCACACTGCCACATCTTTCTGCAGTGTAGCGCTTATGGGTTTAGACCTTTTAGCTAGCAGCTGAGCCCTGAACCACTCACAGTATCAACCAGGACTTCTAGAAGACTGTTTTGAGGTTTGACAATTAAAGAAGTCAGTGCAGTCGTATGTTTGTAACATTTATTTTCACCATGCATTCTAGTGATATATGCGGAGGTAAATGCAATCACTGCCTTTTCAGAACAATTATATAGTTTTTATCTCATTAAAATAAATTATCAAGAGAATGAAAAGGCAGCCTACAGAATGGGAGAAGACAATGCAAATTTTATGTTCAGTAAAGGCCTAGTATGTAGAACATATAAAGAATCCATACCTCAACAACAAAAAGATCAATAGCCCAGTTGAAAATTAAGCAAAGGGAAAATGCTGCCCCTGTCACCCTCAACATGGAGACTTCACAATGAAGTGCTCAAAATGCCTCAAGTTGAAGCTGAAGGAGAAGGAGCTGCCTTAGGTGCTCATTCTGTCATCCCTGATGATGTCCTCTGTGGTAGTTTTGTCACTATCTAATCACTGGAGGAATAATTTTAAGATGTTGTTGTAAAACCTCCAGATGTTGGCTTCTATAGTTGATGAGCATGGATGTCACAGGCCAGTAGCATTCTTGGTCTACAGAATAAATGGATAGTATATTATAAAGTCCTGGTGTACAGCTGTAGAATAAGCACGGAATAGCTAACCACTAGGTCAAGAACTAAAATAGAATATGCCTATACTTAGGACTTTTCACTAGGTTGTATACCCAGCAGAAAGATGTGCTTCAAACCCATCAGCAGCTCTTCAGAAACCTATACAGAGTCACGATGACCTGGAAACAACTTGACGGCACTTAACAACATTATGGAAGGACTCACTTCCAGCTTTATGTTTGCAATAGGAAGTTTACGTTTAATGATCCTGGATCAGTCCAGGGTATCACAGCATTCCAAATCTAAATACATACCTTATACTCATTTGACATTATGGTGTTGGAGGAGAATATTGAAAGTGCCATGGGCTTCCAAAAGAACCAACAGATCTATGTTGGAAGAAGTGCAGCCAGAGTGCTCCTTGGAGGCCAGGATGGCCAAATTTTGTCTCTCCTACTTCAGACATATTGTCAGGAGGGACCAGTTGCTGGAGAAGGCTATCCTGTTTGGTAAGGTGGAGGGTCAGAGAAAAAAGAGGAAGACCCCCAGTGAGATGTATTGGCAGAGTGGCAGCATCAGTGGGCTCAAATGTGGTAACGATAGTGAGGTTGGCCCAGGATTGGGCAGTGTTGCATTCTGCAGTGCATAAGGTCGCTATGAGTTGGTACCGACTCGATGGCACCTAACAACAACAATTCATTTGACTTATCTGTGTTTTAATGAGTTTTATTATGACTAGAATATTCATGAGAATGAAACTGCTGGGCTATCTGATGAGTTAAATTACTGTTTGAGAAGCAAGCAATGTATATTAGATGTGTTCCTGTTAAAGAAGTTTTAAAGGCTGCATCTATCCTTGTATATGAAATGTGGAAAAGGATGAAAAGTGCAGAGAAAGAAAAATGTCGTGGATACCCATTCAAACTTGGACTAAAATTTTACTATTAAAGAAAGAAGCTTATTACAGTAGTTTTTCCTGATGACCTAGACTGATAACACCCAACGATGCTAAATGGCATTTTCTTCTTTGTTTTTTATTTCTTAGAGAAATATTTTATGTCTACAACTTTAACATTAAATAAAGTGATCAGTTTTTACAAGCCTTGAAGAAAAGAAAAGGAGGCAAAGGACTTAAATAGATATTTCTCCAAAAAAGATAATCATGAACAACAAACACATGAAAAAATGTTCAACATTTTTAGTGTTGTTAGCTGCTGTCGAATAGATTCTAAGCAGAATAGAACTGCTCCATAGGATTTTCTTGGAGGAGTCCTGGTGTGGCCCTGTGGGTTAATGTACTGGACTGTAAGGTCAGTTTGAACTGCAATGTTAGTGGTTCAAGCTCACCAGCCACTCCTTGAAAACCCTGTATAGGATTGCTGTTAGAACCAACTTGACGGCACTTAATATCCACAACAGTCTTAAGGAGAGGAGCCCTGGTGGCACACTCTCTCTAGTTAAAGTACTTTACTGCTAGTCAAAAGTTTGGTGGTTCAAACCCTCTAGGCTCCTCCACAGCAGACAGGTGTGACATTCGGCTTCTATACAGATTACGGATTTTGAAACAATATGGAACACTTTGTCTCTTTTCATGCCGGGTTGCTATGAGTCAGAATTGACTTGACAACAACGGGTTTTGGTTTGGAATCTTAATGTAAGCAGGTCACCAGGCCTATTGCCACAGTGGTGCTTGTTGGCTTTGAGCCACCAACCTTTCGGTTAGCAGGCCTGCTGAAACCATTTGTGCCACTCAGGATTCTCCTTGTTACTATACATCTGTTGGTCTTTTGGAGTCCTGGTGTAGCTCTGTAGGATAAGCACTCAACCACAATGTTGGTTTGAACCGCGGCGTTGGCAGTTCAAAGTCACCAGCCACTCTTTGGAAATGCTATATAGGGTCATTTTGGGTTGGAACCGACTCGATGACACACAACTGATCTTTTTTTTTTTTTGGCTTTTGAATGCTTATTAAGTATCCCATAATTTTCAGAATAGTCTTCATTTACAAGTTAAATATCTTCATTTTAGAAAATTAATGTATGAGATTCATTTGAAAAAATTAATTCACAATCGTGCATTGATTTATTATAATACACTTTGAAAATAGTTTATAATGTTAAAGGAAAGGAAAAGTTGCTTTTATTTATTTAAATAATTTGCCAATTTTTAGAAAGCTACTTTATTATCTTGTAAGAAGGAAAAGGATTCATTGATAATGAATCTGACCGATGGCCATCTACTTACCTAGGGATGATGACAAATTAAAAGTTAATATTGATGGCTGCATGATAACTCTTCAAGAAGTGTATTTAATTTGAAAAGAAAATAGATTTTTTTACTCTATGAGCATAATTGTATTCTCTGAAACCCTGTACAGGGTCGCTATGGGTCGGAACTGACTCGACGGCACTTCAACAACAAACATGTTATATTTTTACCTTATTTAAATTCATCAAACTTCATTTTGATCTAAGGAACAGAAAGCAGGGGGGCCTCTTCCAGGTCAGGCCACATAATGTGGTTATTTTGGTCATAAATATTTAGTGAATTTCTAGTCTTCTATAGCTGTCTTTCATTTGAACTGCAAGGTCCGTGGTTCAAGCTCACCAGCTGCTCCTTAGAAACCCTGTACAGGGTCACTATGGGTCGGAATCGATTCGATGACACTTAACAACAACAACAATAGCTGTCTTTATGAAAGATAGGACCTTCAACCCTGAGACTCACCTAAAATGCATATTCCTAGATTCTTCCCCAACGTACCAAATCAGAATTTCTGGGAATGGAGCCCTGCAATTTGAATTTTTAACAATCATCTCTAGATGATGCTTGTGCATAATAAAATTTGAAAGGTATTCCTATTTAGATTCATCTTCCTTTTCTCTGAAAATAACATCTTCCAGAAAACTAATTTTTGAGCCGTGAAACTGATGGTTTTAAAGCATAGAGACATAGTGACCATATATGGGGATATGGTTTAAGTAAACAGTTGATCTACATAACTAAATAAAACTAAGATATATAGTTAAATGAAAATTGATGTCTCTCTCTTGTCTCAGATTTTTCCACTTTGGCATTAACTTTTATAATTAGAAAACCTAAATAGTTTTCATTATTAATAAATTTTAAAATAATTTTATAATCATCAGATGAAAAATCAACTCTAGAACAGAAACCTCTTAAGCTAGCTGCTCCACAAGTCCCACCCAAGAAGCCTACTCCACCCACCAAAGCCAATAATTTATTGAGATCTCCTGGTATAGTGTATCCAAAGCGACCGGAAAAACCAGTTCCTCCACCACCTCCTATAGCCAAGTAAGTTTTCCCAATTTTAAATTAGCTTATTGATTTACCTATCATTTACCTAAATGCCTTGTTTGCCTTTATAAATCCAAAATGATTTTTAAATTATTTTCTGCATTTTCTCTATAGGTTGAAATTATTCTGTATTAATTATTTCACTCTAGGTATTCACTTGTTAAATCGTTTTTACACTTCTGATTATATTGTGATCAGTCTTAGGACAGATGTTTGTAGTTATGGAAATTGTTTAACAGAGCAGAAAGAAATCAGTGTTCTATGCTGTCAAATGTTTAATGTCATTAAACCACGTTTTAAAAAATGGTTGTGTTTCACTTACAAGTGATTTTTTTATATGTTTTTTTTTTCTCAATTCAGGGTTAATGGGGAAGTTTCTACCATCTCATCAAAATTTGAAACTGAGCCAGTATCAAAACCAAAGCTAGAATCTGAGCAGTTACCACTGAGACCAAAATCAGTAGAACTAGATTCCTTTGTAATGAAAAGCTCGAAAGAAACAGGTAAGTCAACATGTAGAAAGGTATATTTTTAAAAAGTTAATATAGTTTTCAGAAACTATTTAAAAATAAGAGACTTCTATATACATTTTGTATGTGGTTAGCTATAATGGAAATTTAAAAAATGTATGTAGCCAAAATTAAAAATGAAATGAAACTAAGAACTAAAAGAAAATAAATATCTAAGACCAAGTAATTTTTTGTGTGTGTGCTGAGATGGATGTTGAAAAATCATCTACCAATTAGTCTGTACGTTCACCACAGAATTACGATGTTGTTGTTGTTAAGTGCCTTAGAGTCAGTTCCAACTCATAGCCACCCTGAATAGGTTTTCCGAGGAGTGATGAGGTGGTACCACATTTAAATATGTTTTATTTTTCAAAGTTAAAAAATGAGATGATTTTGTCTTTCAGTATCAGCACTTTATTAGTTATTGTTACTAAGTGCCGTCAGATTGACACCCGAGTCATAGTGACCCTATACAGGGTTTCTGAGGCTATAAATCTTTACAGGAGCAGAAAGCCTCATCTTTCTCCTGCAGAACCAGCTGGTAGTTTTGAACTGCTGACGTTGATGTTAACAGCCTGATTTGTAACCACTACGCTATCAGAGCTCCTTCCATTAGCACTTGTGGTTGATGTTAAGTGCCATCGAGGCGATCCTGACCCATAGCAACCCTGTGTAGGGTTTCCAAAGAGCAGCTGGTGAGTTTGAACTGCCAACCTTGCAGTTCAAACGGCTTTGCAGTCTGGCACATTAACCCACAGCACCACACCAGGACTCCTCCATCAGCACTAGACAATGTTTAAAAAGAATGTTTTTATTTCTCCACTTCTCTGGAAGAGTTTAATTTCCCTTGCAAAAATGTAGGCTTTTTATGATTCTCATATGTATCCGCAGGCTTCACTTCTTAATGTTCTCTAAGCTTCAGGACTGATTTCTCAGGCCACTGTTTTTGTTGTTGTTAAGTGCCATCGAGTCGGTTCTGACCCATAGCGACCCTGAACAGGGTTTCCGAGGCTGTAAATCTTTACAGGAGCAGATAGCCTCATCTTTCTCCTGCGGAACCGCTGGCAGTTTCGAACCGCTGACCTTGTGGTTCATAGCCCGATTCGTAACCACTATGCTACCAGAGCTCCTTGTTGTTGTTGTTGTTGTTAAGTGCCGTCGAGTCGGTTCCGACCCATAGCGACCCTGAACAGGGTTTCCGAGGGTGTAAATCTTTACGGGAGTAGAAAGCCTCATCTTTTTCCCGAGGAGCTGCTGGTAGTTTCGAACTGTTGACCTTAAGGTTCACAGCCCGATTCGTAACCACTCCTTAATCATCTTTATTTCTCTACTTCGAACTTTTTTCAAGTCTTTGTACCCATTCTTTGCAAAATACTAAACTTGCAACAAAAAAGTCTTGATACAAGATCTAGCAATTAATAAACAGTACCATGCAATCAGTTATACTGGTGGTGGTTACTGTATAATGCTTTGCATTTGCTTTTAGTTTCTACTTTTTCTATGCACTTTCTCATATTTTTCTTATTTTATCTTTACAATAATTATAGGAGGCTTATGATATTTTTCCTTATTTAGCATCTAAGGAAAGTAAGCTATGTTGTTAAGTGCTGTCGAGTCAGTTCCGACCCATAGCGACCCTGTATAGGGTTTCCAAGGAGCTGCTGGTGAGCTTGAACTGCCGATCTTGCACTTCAAAGGGCTTTGCAGTCTGGCGTGTTAACCCACAGTGCCACACCAGGACTCCTAAAGTAAGCTATAGAGAGATGAAATGTCCAACGTTACGTAAATCAAAAGAGAACTCTTTAAAAAAAAAACCCTTTATATAAAGTATTTGATGATACTCTTTAAAATGTTAAAATCTGTCTTAATATTATAATTTTTAGCTTCAGTATTATCATTTGCTATTTATATTTTAACTTGAAGCCCAGTTACACTTAGCTGGTTTTTCTGTGATCATTTTGTAATATGTGCTATTCTTGAGTTTTTTTCTCTTCAGTTTGCCAGTGTGAAAGCTCTGACTTAAGCATGTCCTCCTTGATTCTTTCAATGTGAATGCTTTTTAGAGTCTTTCCTTACATATTTGTATACTGCCTGCTCTAAATGAAGCCATATGCATTACTAGTTTCTGAGAATTGAGATGTTGGTTGCATGTTAGAACATGTCAGTATGTTTTGACTGGTGAAAATTGTTCTTATTTACTATTATGTAAAGAAAAAAAATCTTTATGACTTTAGAAAAAAATCCTATGTTCCTTTTTATTAAAGATAGGAGTGAAAAATAAAATTCTACCTGGTTATATTATGTTATGATTTAAAGTATAGCTAGAAGTCTGTTTTCAAAAGTAATTACTGGAGGAAAAAAGTTAGTTTACATAGTTTTTAATCTGGAAAGCAAAACATCAGTTGATAACCATCTTTTGAATGTCTCTTATTTTTTACATCCTTTATCACAAAAGTCTTAAATTTGATAGGAAGGAGTAGTAATTAGTCTTGTGTTTGTTTTTATGTTTTGTATTATATGTAAACATTTGCTTATTATGTTTATTTGAAGGTATTAGAAAGTTTTAAAGCATATGTAAATTACAAGAAATCCACTTTTTAAAAGTTTCCTGTATACTGTCACCAGTGACCTTTGTTCCCTTTGCTACAGTTTTATTTACCAATGTCAAACTAATTGGTACTTGAGTATTACAGAGTTTTTTGGTCCCATTCCTGTCTTAACTTACATTTATTGCCATTATTTTTTGTTTCAAAAACAAAGAGACTTTATGGAACGTTTGAAAACTTCTAGTTTGTGTTTTATTTTTTTTCCATCAAATAATTAGATTCTAATAAGATGAATGGAAGTTCAAAGCTGTAGATCTATAATCCATTCCAGTGAATGCCTAAACTGCTGTTCTTTATTGCATCGACTGTCAGCCTGGTTTTGGAGTACCCACTTTTGCATATCTTGTAAAACTCAGAAATGCATATTTGGGGAATTGAGTTTATAGTAAGCAGTAGGTATTTACTAAGCAAGCTGTAATATTCTCAGTACTGTTTTAGGGAAAATCTTATGCTAACATAAGAAAGACATCATTGGTGGCAGGAAATATCCATTTTTCCAAACCCGAGTTCAGAGGGTCTTCTTTACTTACTGTTTTTATTAGAATATCACTAGTTCTTAATGCTTGCACTTTAAAAGTGTTTTACCTCTCTTCTGGAGATGCTGACACTTCATATTCAGCATTAAGTTTGACACGTCTTTTAATTTATAATTTTGAATTGGCTTGAGGTTTAAAAGTTTTTTAAAAGTAATATATGAAGTGACCCCATAATATATGCATTAGAACACTTAAAACATATCCCTTATTGCATTAAAACTTTATTAGGAACTTCATTATTATATAAAATATTTTGTGATGAAATCATATGGTAAAAAGTACACTAAACTACTTTTTTTTAATGTGAACTTTATTTATTACCTAATGGGTATTGTATGCAAGTTTAATCTTTCTTCATCAGTCCTCTCACTTGCAATTAAATGATGTAGTGTATCTACTAAGAATCCCCACTTGTTGTTGTTGTGAAGTGCCGTTGAGTCAGTTCCGACCTATAGCGACCCTGTATAGGGTTTCTTTCCAAGGAGCAGCTGGTGAGCTTAAACCGCCAACCTTGCATTTCAAACAGCTTTGCAGTCTGGCTCATTAACCCACAGCACCACACCAGGATTTCCTACTGGATAGTAGTTAATCACTTGGCTAATAAAGGTCTACTTTTCAAATCCACCATCTGCTTCTGTAAAGATTTATAACTTGTAAACCCTATCGGGGTAGTTTATTTTGTCCTTAAGGGTCAATCAATGTTAAGTCAGTATGGACAAGTGGTTTAGTTTTAGGATATCTACTACACTTATTAGAATGCTCGACATGGAAGTTATTACAAATGTTATTTTCCTTCTTTCCTCCCTTCTCCATTTTAAACCCATTTCATATTTTTTCTTCTCTAATCCATTGTTGTTATTGTTATTAAGTGCTTGTAACATAGTTGTTGTTGTGAAGTACCCTAGAGTTGGTCTCACTCATAGTGAGCCTGCACAGGGTTTGTGAGGCTGTAAATCTCCATGGGAGCAGAACACCTCATCTTTCTTTCGCGGAACCACTGGTAGTTTCGAACTGCTGACCACTATGCTACCAGAGCTCCTTTGTAACATAGTAGATTATCTAATGATTTGTTGTTGTTAGGTGCCTTCGAGTTGGTACCAACTCATAGCGACCCTATGCACAGAAAAATGAAACATTGCCCAATAATGGGCCAACCTCATTACTGTTGCCATGCTTGAGTTCATCAATGATGCCACTTGGCCAGTCCATCTCGTTGGGGGTCTTCCTCTTTTTCTCTGACCTTCACCTTACCAAGCATGATATCCTTCTCCAGCGACTGGTCCCTCTTAACAATATGTCCGAAGTATGAAAGACGAAGTTTGGCCATCTTGGTCTCCAAAGATGGATCTTCCAAAATGGATCTGTTGGTTCTTTTGGCAGCCCATGGCACTTTCAATATTCTTCTCCACATCATAACTCAAATGCATCAGTTCTTCTACGGTCTTCCTTATTCACTGTCCAGCTTTCACATCCATATGAGGTTATTGGAGATACCATGGCTTGGGTCAGGCACACTTTAGTCCTCAAGCTGACATCTTTGCTCTTCAACACTTTAGAAAGGCCTTGTGTGGCAGATTTGCCTAATGCAATACGTCATCTAATTTCTTGACTGCTGCTTCTGTGAGTGTTGATAGTTGATCCAAGAAGAATGAAGTCCTTGACGATGTCAATCTTTTCTCTGTTTATCAGAATGCTGTTTATTGGCCCATTGGTGAGGATTTTTGTTTTCTTTACATTGAAATGCAATGCATACCGAAGGCTGTGCTCTTATGATCTTAATCAGTAAATGTTTTAAGTTCTCCTCACTTTCAGAAAAAAGGTTGCCGTCATCTGCGTATCACAGGTTGTTAAT